CGTGGACGGGACTTGGCCCCCCCTCCCCTTCCTTCCCCTTCCTTCCCCTTCCTTCCTTTTCCTTCCCCCCTATTGCTGCGCCGCGGAAGCGCCCCGTGTCTTTTTCCCATTTTGAGGGTACACACGCGAGAGGACCGACCAAATATCCGTGTGACCCGAAATCGAGAGAGAAGGAGGAAGGGGAAGGGGGCTTTATTGACTATGCGTCGAGCACACAGGTATTGATACGCGTTCGGGGAGATACGATCTTTGTCGGCGATGCATATTCGCCTTTGCATTCCCTCTGATCCGCATTCACGTTGAATTTGGGGATTATCGATATGATTCTGTGGCCGTTTCCCCCGATTTTTTTAAACTTCAATCATTTGTAAAATTCGAAAGGATATACAAAGTGGCCCCGTACGTTCCAGCCAGACTTCGAGATCTTATAGGAAATTTAATTCTGAAGAAAAAATTTCCTATAAACATGGGTCGAAAAATACTTCCTTAAGAAGTTATCCGCTCAAAAAGGCTCTGATGAAGGAAGAGCAAAAGGTGAAAAGAAAATGAAATAAAAGAAAATGAAACTAAATAAATATCTTGAAAAAAAACGATAAAAATAAAAAATAAAAATCTTTTTCTTTTATGAAAATAAAATAATCTTTTTTTTTTAACTAATATTTTAGTAATAGCACGTAATAGTAGAAAATGTATGAAGACGTTTTTCAAGAAATTTATTTAGTTTCATTTTTTTTTGTTTCATTTTCTTTTCACCTTTTGAAGCATTTTTCGACCCATGTTTATAGGAAATTTTTTGTTCAAAATTAAATTTCCTAAGATCTCAAAGTCGGGCTTGAACGTTCGAGGTCATCCTGTATACTCTCGCCATATTCACACCTTTATTTTTTCTTCTCTACTAATATTTTATCAATTCTTTTAATCTTCTTTTATTACATTCCAAAGTGATTTGATTTAAATTATTCTTGTGCAAGTGTATTATTTATATATGCATTTTTATTATACTTTTATTTTATTTTATTATATTTTTTACTATATTTTACATATTTATGCATTTTAATTATTTTTTTAAATTTATTTTTTATTTTATTTTTTTTTTTATTTAACTTATCTAAAAATTCTATTTATATTAATATAAAAATTTAAATTTCTAAATTTATTTTCTCCTAATTTCTATCTATTTTAATTTCTAATCTAGTCTCTCTATAAATATATCTATATACTTCATGTCCATATTTCTTCCTTTTTTTCAATGAAAACATTGAGTAATATGTTGTTCATTTTTCTTCGATGTGAAGTATCGAAATGCTAGATTGATCGCATTCGGAACGAACGCAAAATGCTGACAAAATAAGAGTGGGACGTAAAAATCGTAAGATTTTTCAGACATTTCTCGAAAAAAGAGAAATCTGACACGAACTAACACGTGGTTCCCGGATAAAGTAGCACTCGGCATTTCGCCCCAGGCTTTCCGGACCCCGTCGAGTGCCACCCACCAGTATTCTTACTATAGTGGTAGCGAGGCTGCGCTTTCTTGCTCCTCTGCTCGCCACTTGTCCACCCCCGCAGAAAGGACGCAAGGTGCCTTTTTCTTTCTCTCTTTCTGTCGGTTTCCCAGCTACCTGTCAATGGCGGAAACGATCTTGGCAATGATAATCCACGGTCGATCGATATGTGAGAAACTTATCGTTGTTTTTCGTTATATTGCTAAAAATTTCACGATTATATAATTATAAAGAAAGTAAGGAAAAAATGAGAAATTTCTAAAGTTTGATTCCCTTATAATTTTGATCATGTGTTAAGAATATTCATACTTTAAATTATAATTACTTTAAATGATTTACTTATATTCAAAAAATTGGTTTTTTAATTTGGAGATTTTTAAAAATATTTTTATAAAATTTAGCATTATTTCTGAAAAATAATAATTTTTTGTAAGATCATAATTATACTGATTTAATTGTAATAATAAACGTATTTTAATTTGCTCATTAATGTTAACAGCATCATAATATTGCATCATTTTCTTGTCGATATCTATCATTCAGATGCATGAAACTATCGTTTTATGTTATTGACGGAAATTTCCTTTTCTTGATGATATCAAATCTAAACGCGAGTGACTCACTGTTTTCATACATTTGAATAAAACATGAAATATACAGGGTGGCCCCGAACGTTCCAGCCAGACTTTGAGATCTTATAGGAAATTTAATTCTGAACAAAAAATTTCCCATAAACATGAGTCAAAGAATGCTTCCTTAAGAAGTTATCGCTCAAAAACTTCTGATGAAGGAAGAATAAAAGGTGAAAAGAAAATGAAATAAAAAGAAAATGAAACCAAATAAATTTCTTGAAAAAAAAAACGATAAAAATAAAAAATAAAAGTCTTTTTCTTTTATGAAAATAAAATATTTTTTTTTTTTTAACTAATATTTTAGTAATAGTACGTAATAGTAGAAAATGAATGAAGACATTTTTCAAGAAATTTATTTAGTTTCATTTCCTTTTTATTTCATTTTCCTTTCACCTTTTGCTTTTCCTTCATCAGAGATTTTTGAGCGATACTTTTTAAGGAAGCATTTTTCGACTCATGTTTATCGGAAATTTTTTGTTTAGAATTAAATTTCCTATAAGATCTCAAAATCTGGCTGGAACGTTCGGGGCCACTCTGTATATAAAAAGTTTCTCTCTCTCTCTCTCTCCCTTCATGATTTTTTACTTCCCTCCCGCTTATTTTTAAATATCCGAAAATTTTGAACGTTAACCATTCTCATACATTAAACGCAATAGCCGATATGGCAATTCGAATCAGGTATCAACTTCCGCGTTGTAGGTCCGAACAGGTATTTATAGAGAAGCAACGCGCAGCGTTTTGTTCGAGAACAGCACGGACCAGTCTTTCCTCGCAGAGTTCCCACCCTAAAAGGTGGACAGTGTCCAGCACAGTAAGGACTATGGCAATTACGAAAGAAGCGGGCGAGAGTCCCGCGACGAGAGAACTAGTTTTCTCTAGGAGAAACGTCCCGGAAGCGACGTCGGCCCATACCCCGTGTTCGAGGTCGGCGAAACTCGCTTTTGGATTTTGATTATCAAGAAAACTCGATTTCTCGATCCCCCGGTCCCGGTCCGGATCCCTGGGATTCCCGCGGAGAGAAACGTGTGTAACGTGTCGCGCATCACGGGCCGGCCGAGAAAGTCATCGAAAGCCCTGTTAAGGTCACGGGGTTGGTCCGAGGTCACAAACGGCTGTTTCTGCCAGTTAGACATTCGTGGTTGAACGATTTTCTTTTAGTCTCGACGAAGACGATTAATAAATTTTTAAACTACAAAGATAGAGAAACTAAAGAAATTCATAGTGCTATAGTGGTTTAATAGTGACTAAATTTTTGAAGAACTTATATGTCACATACTCTTACAATTAAAAAAATTAAATTTTAGAATTAAATTTAGAGATTAACTTTTTTTAAGTTTCTAAAGAAACAAATTATTATATCTTGAATTAATTAAAAAATTAACGAGAAAGTCATCAAAAGCTCTGTTAAGGTCACAAACGGCTGTTTCTGCCAGTTAGACATTCTTGGTTGAACGATTTTCTTTTAGTCTCGACGAAGACGATTAATAAATTTTTAAGCTACAAAGATAGAGAAACTAAAGAAATTCATAGTGTTATAGTGGTTTAATAGTGACTAAATTTTTGAAGAACTTATATGTCACACATACTCTTACAATTAAAAAAATTAAATTCTAGAATTAAATTTAGAGATTAACTTTTTTTAAGTTTCTAAAGAAACAAATTATTATATCTTGAATTAATTAAAAAATTAACGAGAAAGTCATCGAAAGCCCTGTTAAGGTCACAAACGGCTGTTTCTGCCAGTTAGACGTTCTTGGTTGAACGATTTTCTTTGGTCTCGACGAATACGATTAATAAATTTTTAAGCTACAAAGATAGAGAAATTAAAGAAATTCACAGTGTTATAGTGGTTTAATAGTGATTACATTTTTTAAGAACTTACATGTCACACATACTCTTACAATTAAAAAAATTAAATTTTAAAATTAAATTTAGAGATTAACTTTTTTTAAGTTTCTAAAGAAACAGATTATTATATCTTGAAATAATTAAAAAATTAACGAGAAAGTCATCGAAAGCCCTGTTAAGATCACAGGGTTGGTCCGAGGTCACAAACGATTGTTTCTGCCAGTTAGACATTCTTGGTTGAACGATTTTCTTTCGGTCTCGACGAAGACGATTAATAAATTTTTAAGCTATAAAGATAGAGAAACTAAAGAAATTCACAATGTTATTAGTGGTTTAATAGTGATTACATATTTTAAGAACTTACATGTCACACATACTCTTACAATTAAAAAAATTAAATTTTAAAATTAAATTTAGAGATTAACTTTTTTTAAGTTTCTAAAGAAACAGATTATTATATCTTGAAATAATTAAAAAATTAACGAGTTATCTTTCTATTTAATGAAATGTCATGATAAATAGACTCAACAGAATATATAAAACTATGAATACAAGCTATAATCGCAAAATTTTTATATAATAATCTTTCATTAATTCCTTATTATCTTATTCTTGCAAATCTCCTACTATATAAACCGACGATGTTTGTGACTAATCAACCGCATGATTATATCAATCTGCATGATTTCATGTGAAAGTACATTATTCATGTGAAATGAATAGCAACTAATTTCTTTGTATCCATAACAAGGTAGTAACATTCATGTGTGACGTAATAATATAATCTATTGAAATTAATGAACAAGAAAGAAACAGAGAGAAAAAAGAGAAAGAGAAAATACGTATTTATTATTATCATAAAAATAAAATAAATATCTCAATAGAAATATTTAAAAATATCTAATAAAATGGAATTCGTCAATACAGCGTATGACGCACCGCGCTCGGCGCTCAGCTGTTTACATGCGGTGACCTGGTTATTATTCACTCGGCGTAGTTCGTAGGTAGCGGATTGTAACTCTGCCCCTCTAAACGCGATCGTGGCAATTATGTATCGAAATATGTTAAACGCGAACATTCTGTACGATTATTATAACTAGTGATTAACGACTCGTGTTAATGAATGTGACAATCATTAATAATAGTCTCGACCATGACGTCATGAATAACGGAAGTTATTCGAAGCAGGTATTTTATATGCTTTATATTTATCGAAAGTAGAAATAATAATAATTGATTTCGCGAGATTATTTATGTATATGTATGGATTGCATCATACTCGTAGAGAATATTACGTCTTTTCGGAGTTTTAAGTAACTATTAATTATTCTTCTGTTTAGTCTAATATCCCGCGGTATTAAAGTTGCTAGGGTTGCATGAGATACCAAGATTAGTCTTGATATTGTCTTGTCTTGTCTTGAATTTCAAGACAAAATCAAGACAAGATTTTTAATTAGTTATCAAGACAATACTAAGACTGAGACTGTCAAGATTATTAGTCTTGTCAAGATTATTGGTTCTCAAAAAAACTAAAATATTTATATTTGTAAATGAAAAAAATCACAATATACGAATTTAAAAAAATTTTATTCAATAAAAACGTTTATATTAATAAATTTAAAAACATTTAATATTAATACAATATAACATTTTTATAAATTAGAAATCAAACTCGCAAATTTTAAAGAGCATTTCACCCAGGAATTGATGCACATTAGTGCTTTTAAAGATTTACTTTGTAATCTGGTTCTAATTTTTGACATAGTCAGAGTTCCTATTGAGAAAACTCTTTCTACTGATACGGATGAGGCAGTTGAACTTAAAATGTCTCAAGCCATTTTTAACAATGTGGGATAAATATGAACCTGATTTTTTTATTACTCCAAAATATTTATATCTGCACATTGGAGTCTGTAAATAGTTATTAATTTCTATTTTCCATGAAACAGTAAATGTTTTTTTATGTAAATAGACAGCATTTATATCGATTACATAGTAATAATTATAATTAAAATATAATACAATAGTAATAATTATTTCAAATTATATTACAAAAATTGTTAAATATTATTTAAATAATTTTTTAATATTAGATAAAAAATTGTTAATAAAATCGAGACAAGACAATACAAGACGAGATTTTTGCTACCAATATTCACTCAAGACCAAGACAAGATTTAAATTTTTGAAAATTTTCAATACCAATACAATTTTCAATACCAATACAATTTTTACGAATATTGTCTTGGCTTGGGTCTTGTGCAACCCTAGAAGTTGCCGATGTTTCGAATTTTTCAATTCGACGTTTTTTCGAAACTCCGCGAAGCAGATCGATTCCGGTTCGGACAATATCACGACGCATCTGTTTAATTAGTAAGCATAATGGCCATCACACATAAAATTCCATAAACATGTAAGACGTAACCGTAAGGAAATCGACTGATCACGGTCGAGTATTGATCCCTTGGAGGGGCCATAATCGTTGTAATCTTTACATTGTAATATTTATCAATCGCATATCATACATTCAACGTTTTTATTCGTAATCGTAATTGGTCGAAACGCATATTTTGCATGACTTGTTCAATTAAGGATGTTTTGTACTTATTTTCAAAATATTGAGAATTTAATAAAAATTGTACAGAATGTCCTTACATATGGTTAAAACCTTCAGTACAATTTTTAAATCGATTCACTAAAGCGTTCACAAATTATAAGGATTTTTATTTGCACCGAATTAACATGTGTTATTATGGGAAACGTATAACCACATCGATTCAAAAACAGATGGAAATAATATTCAGAATTTATTTAAAATTTGCAAAAGTTTAGATACAGAGGAAATATTTGGTCAAATAATATTATACAAGTACTAACTGATTAAAAAGATATTAAATATAATTCAATGAAGTTAGTTATGTATCTGTCACGAGACGAAATTCTCTGCCAAAAGTTAATCATTTCGATTAACAAAATTCGAAATATTTCAGTAAAAACGCAATAAATATTAAAAAATACATCTGCACTGTAGCTAAGATCAAATTGTAATATTCCAATTTCTCATATTCAAAATACACCAAAAGTGGATATTCGTCAATATTGATTTTCAGCTACTTTTTATTGGAATTACATACAAAACATCCTTAATTAGTAAGCATAATGGCCATCGCACATAAAATTCCATAAGCATGTAAGACGTAAATGTAAGGAAATCGACGATCGAGTATTGGACCCTTCCAATGGGTATCATTGAACATAATTATTTTAATCTTCACATAATGTAATATTTACCAATATAATGTAATATTTACCAATATAATGTAATATTTACCAATCGCGCATCATACATTCAACGCTTGCATTCGTAATCGTAATTGATCGAAACGCATATTTCGCAAGATTCGTTCAATTAAAATCTGTTGCACAATCAACATAACCTCTCGATTTTTAGAATGTTGCTCGCGGATATCCATTTTTATAGTTTTAACTTGCATATTTACATCATTCATGTGTTTCATCACTCATTACAATGCAAGATAATAATATTGCTCTAAAATATGTATCTTATTTGTTTACATGTAGCCTTGCTACGACAAGCTGCGTGCGAGTTTGCCTACGTGATCCTCGAATATCGAACGTATCGTTGCTTTGTGCGATTATAGTTTTTGCGTCGTTTTGCGATGTATATTAAATCCTCATCGGGAGTGTCGTCAAGTGTCGCGCGATCGTAATTAATCATGTTTTCGCGAGTACCGCGAGTGCTAAGAAGGAGAAGTAATGCACGAGGAAGAGAGGAGGAGGGGGAAGAGGAGAACTGGGCAGTCATCGAGCGACAAAGGAGCAACTATGGGGTATGTAAATACAATTCATACTTCGTTAGAGAAACATAAATCCGCCTAGTTTCGTTCAATTAAATTTAAATGATTCTCTCGTATGTGCTCGATGTTTCCAAGCTCACGCAATGCTTACGTAAAGAGATCGCCTAAAAACACAAGCAGAATTTTCTGCGCTTATGCTCGTCCGCTTATCGCATTAATTATGTGTATGCCGTTGATACTGTCGCGTTGAACGCTTGTTGACACGCTGAAGTGTTTTTTCTATCGCATCTTCGATTATCGCTGTTGTTTTTATAAGCGAATGTTTTGATAATATAGGAAAACCTCGTTTGCTTCGTTTTAGATTAATTTGAGAAGTTATTTATGAGAACTTAAATTAATAAAATTAATAAGAAACTTAAATTAATACATGTGCATGTGGATGTCTCGTAACATAACTATAAACAGTTAATTCGAAAGACAAGTTGAAATTAAAAACTTTGTAATTATGAGTAGCCTTACTTATAAATTGGTATAAATTATAAACTGTTATATTTGGACAGTTATCCATATATTCAATGATTGGTACAATTTGATTAAACTATCGCTTCAAATATAATTTTAATTTGATTAAAATTATTATATTTTAACAGAGCTTTAAGGAATTGTTATTAATTTCAAATAATTTTAGCTCTATTATTAATTTTAAATAAATGAAAAAATTTACAAAATTAAATAATATGTATATTATTATAATAATCGATAAATATAACGTATATATTATTATATCTTCTATTCTTTTAAATAATCGGAATTAGATCTCCTAATAATTCAATAAACACAATTTAAGTTTTTTCTTCTTCAATGCGTTTTTTTAAACATAAGCAACATATGATTAGTTTTAGTTGTCAATTTTTAATTTTAATTTAATTTTAATTTTCAATTTTAATCTTTTGCGTTTGACATCTTTAGAAAGAGAGGGATTTGAATCGATTTAGATAAAAGTTAACGTGAACGCAATTCATAATAACAAATATTATTATGAGAATGCGGATGACCGTCTAATTATATCTTCACTGATATTGCTAGTTATCAATTTTTTGCCGGCTGATAGTGAACGTGACGCAATTCAGCTAACAATAAGTGATAAGCCATGCTTGCGAAATGATCTTGTACTCGCTAGGGTTGCACGAGATACCAAGATTAGTCTTGATATTGTCTTGTCTTGTCTTGAATTTCAAGACAAGATCAAGACAAGATTTTTAATTAATTATCAAGACAATATCAGGACTAAGACTGTCAAGATTATTGGTTCTCAAAAAAACTAAAATATTTATATTTGTAAATGAAAAAAATATATATCACTATATACGAATTTAAAAAAATTTTATTCAATAAAAACATTTATATTAATAAATTTAAAAACATTTAATATTAATACAATATAACATTTTTATAAATTAGAAATCAAACTCGCAAATTTTAGACATTAAAGAGGATTTCACCCAGGAATTGATGCACATTAGTGCTTTTAAAGATTTACTTTGTAATCTAGTTCTATTTTTTGACATAATCAGAGTTCTTATTGAGAAAAGTCTTTCTACTGGCACGGACGAGGCAGTTGAACTTAAAATGTCTCGAGCCATTTTTGACAATGTGGGATAAATATGAACCTGACATTTTTACAACTCCAAAATATTTATATCCGCACATTCCCTTGGAATCTGTAAATAGTTATTAATTTCTATTTTCCATGAAACAGTAAATGTTTTTTATGTAAATAGACAGCATTTATATCGATTACATAGTAATAATTATAATTAAAATATAACACAATAGTAATAATTATTTCAAATTATATTACAAAAATTATGTTAAATATTATTTAAATAATTTTTTAATATTAGATAAAAAATTGTTAATAAAATCGAGACAAGACAATACAAGACGAGATTTTTGCTACCAATATTCACTCAAGACCAAGACAAGATTTAAATTTTTGAAAATTTTCAATACTAATACAATATTTTTACGAGTATTGTCTTGTCTTGGGTCTTGTACAACCCTAGTACTCGCGAAGGTCTCGGACCGCCGTTTCTCGTTCGTCGTTGCGATTTAATCTTAAGGGCCGCGCATTATCATTCATCGCGCGCCATATCGTCCTTCGTGCCGGAACGGACGACTTCGAATTCGAGAGTGCCGGGATATAGAAACGACCGTTGTCTCGGACCTAATGTCGCGGAAGAGAATGGGGGAGAGGAAAGGGACATAGGGCGGTTGAAAAGGAGAGGAAAGCGGGAATCGAGTCGAATCATGGGAGTGTATCGCTTCCTATTTAGCGTCGCGGTCGAAACTTTTAAGGGGCGGCCTCTCTCCCTTTCTTTATATGTCGGAAACTGCAGGAAGAGGAAACAACGTGGGCGACAAGGAGGGAGCGTGCTCGACAAAGTTGCGGTCTCGAGATCTCGTCGATGGTCAATCGTATGGTACCCTTCGACCGAACGGACACGATGTTTGTTTGTTCCGCTCTGGGTGTCACAACACACCTACTACAGATCGCAGCGGGGTGCTAACTAGCGTTAGAATGCAAGAGGCAAGCAATCTTATTGACAGACAGAGTGTAAATATGTATCAATTACTGAAAAAAAATGAAGTTTAAAATAAATTAGAACTGCTTTCTAAAAGTGAATCAGCGTATTATTACTGAAAAATAGTAAATAGTCCCTGATTGCAGCAGTTATAAGTACAGCGCTGTAAATCAGTGATATTTTATTGAAAGAATCAGTTAATAATTTTGACTGTTTCAATTAGTAATATTTCTCAATATCAGTAATATTTCTTTCGTTTTTGTCAGTAATAAATTATAATTCATCTCTCTATCCATTTCACATAAAATTAAAAATTTTAATTTTAATATTTTTTAGTGATAATACGCTGATTCACTTTTAGAAAGTATATTTAATATAGAGTAATAATATTATAGATATATAAATATTTGTTTCAGAAATTATTGTAAATTATCGGGGAACAAAAAATTACGATATCTAAATAATTTAATTTCTCTCAATATTTTATACGAAAGCACTTGCTTTGCCCATTTAAATTTATGCATTTGTTTCCATTATGCTAGCCATTTGAAGAAATGCACGTTGCGATATCGTGCCGCTCTATTAATCGAATCGGCGATTCGGGGTTTCCGGGCCGTTGACCGCGTCGCCGTTCGTAAAGTTACCGATGGTAGGCTGATCACACACTCCTTCCGTTCCGGCGGCTCCCCCCGCGAGGAATTTTATTTGCGTCCTAGCGAGATTTACTGCTCCGTGCGACACAGGATATGGGAACCTTCGGCTCTCCGATCTCGAGGTCCGGCTGCGTAAACTTTTGGGACGAACGAGAGCTCCTCTCGAGAGCTTCTCATCCCCTCGATCCATCGCTCCGTTTCCCTTGCCTCCTAACTCATGCTTGCGGACTCCCGGACTTGCGGTGTCCGACCCCTCTCGCCGGACACGGTTCATAAACATTTTAAAGAAAATTTGGGAAAATCTGAATTCGTCTTGCGGGAAGGGTCCTTTGCCGGAACCGTCGAGAGGAGAGAGCAAAAGGGAAAGATGCGAGGTCCGATTTATACATGTATCACTAGACAATGTCCATGCACTTTCATAGGTATTAGATAAATATGTATTACATGCAGGATGGCCCCGAACGTCCCAGCCAGACTTTGAGATCTTATAGGAAATTTAATTCTGAAGAAAAAATTTCCTATAAACATGGGTCGAAAAATGCTTCCTTAAGAAATTATCGCTCAAAAGCCTCTGATGAAGGAAGAGCAAAATGGTGAAAAGAAAATGAAATAAAAAGAAAATGAAACTAAATAAATTTCTTAAAAAACGTCTTTATTCATTTTTTACCATTACGTGCTATTAATAAAATATTAAAAAAAAATTTATTTTATTTTCATAAAAGAAAAAGATTTTTATTTTTATCGTTTTTTTTTCAAGAAATTTATTTAGTTTCATTTTCTTTTTATTTCATTTTCTTTTCACCTTTTGCTCTTCCTTCATCAGAGGTTTTTGAGCGATAACTTCTTAAGGAAGCATTTTTCGACCCATGTTTATAGGAAATTTTTTCTTCAGAATTAAATTTCCTATAAGATCTACAAGTCTGGCTGGGACGTTCGGGGCCAACCTGTATAGTTGCAGAAGAGAACAGGACACTCATTTATACACACACACACGTACACATAAACGTGTTCCAAACCTGGGACTTTTCAAGGCCAACCGCGTGCGGTCGACAACTTTGCGGGATTCATTTCCGCTTCCGCTTTATGTTTCCGTTTTATGCAGACATTTGTGCATAAAATCTTTGCGGCCGAATTCCGAATGGAATTCGGTGATCGTTGCGGTGAAAGTTATTCCGTGTTGAATTTCCATATAGATTACATGCGACACGTGCAACTTTGATTTTACTTATCCTCTCTATAATGATTGGCATGTCTATGTTATAATACATATCAGATATACGGAAGACGCCTTGAAGAAAATAGAAGTATCCCAGACACGTATGATTTTATATTACATTGGAAAAGTAAAATTATTAATTATTAATTATTAATTATTAATATTAATTTATTAGTATGTTATTAAAAAAATTTAATACATTTAATTTTAATATAAAATCTCTTTAATATATACAATTTTTTAATATATTATTTTTAACATATTATTTAATAACGAATAAAAAAATATTTAATTATATTCAATAATCTTTTATTAAAAGACTATTTTAATTTTATAATTATGCATCTATTTTTTATCATTTGCAATGTCTACTATATGTACTGAAAGTGCTCCCCTATTGAAGTTTAAAATAATATTTGAGTGTAAACAATATTTTTGCATTGCCAATCTCACTTTCTCCTCCGTTTCTCTATTTTTCATTTTTTGATATCACGAATGAAATAAAGCTATGGTTCGCGAGTTTTTAATACATTTATCGACATCCGAGTTATTTATGTCCACACGTGACAAGTATTTCAG